TGTGAAACACTCAGTATATTGAACAACAATACTATCTGTCTCATAGTTGGGCAATAAATATTGGATATCAGTTCATAAGAATCATCGATATCAGGAAACAAGTTTGAATTGAAAATTTTCATCCTGTATTTCAATCAGAGATGAATTTTTGACAACGTCACGAGTTGATAGTCTAATATGAATAATGGATATCGAGAAGGCTGTCTGAATATACTGAATCGAATGGGCTATGGTTTTAGTCACCACTTTCGATTTTTTTTACTGAAATGAGATTTTGTCCTATTTTCTCATCATCCTGTATATTTCACAAAAGTGCTTTTTTCGTCTTTTATTGTCCTCCACGAAACATGAGAACAATTCTTTCCAATAGTCAGCAAGTGGAGTTCTAGAGAAAAATTTCAAGAAATTATTATTATTATTATTATTATTAAAAAGTGATAATGGGCTGAGGTGTGAACCTATAAAAGCCCATTTATACATGACATAGTTGTATGGTACACATAAAGAAATATTATATATATATGTAAATAGCTACTAGACAAACAATTAGATTAAAAATAAAATTGAAAAAACAATTAAAAATGTTGAATAGAAATTGAACATTTCGAAATAAAATAGACAGATATAATGCGATGCAAACTGAAAAAAACAAAAACAATTTACTCAGTAATACGATCTAATCGACTTTTGAATGATGATACTGAGGGTGCATTAACTATGTCTGTATCCAGGTTGTTCCATGCCGAGAAAACACGATTTACTATGAAGTTTTGCCGATTTGACGACCTGAAATGTTCCTTCTTAAGTTTAAAATTATGTCCTCTTAATCGTGTATCATCGTTTATCTGGAACATATCACTCAGTGAGGGTAGAAATCCATGAAGAATCCGATAAGTTAGGATCAAGTCTCCACGATGTCTTCGATCTTCGAATGTTGTCAGGCTTAACTGATTCAAACGTTCATGGTATGATGGTCTTCTGAGACCGAAGGACATTCGGGTTGCTCGTTGTTGCACAGATTCCAACATGTTACGATCTCTGATCAACTCCGGGCTCCACACTTGTCCTCCATATTCTAGGATTGGCCTAACATAAACTTTGTAGAGGTTAGTGAACGTTTCAGGTGACGTTTTCGGAAAAACTTTTTTCAAGAGGTACAATTTTGTATTCGCTCGTTTGCATATGTTTGAAATATGTTGTGACCACGTTAAATTGCTGGTTATGGTAACTCCAAGATCATTGTGGCATTCAACCTTAACTAATTGCACATCATTGATGGTATAATTTTGTCTAGGATTATTTTTACCAAGGTGAAGTACAACACATTTATCAATATTCAGTGGTAGTAACCACTCACAACTCCAGTTGTATAAGGCAATCAAGTCATTTTGCAATATATGTTGTGATTTTGTGTTGTTGTAAAGTTTTGTGTCATCAGCGTAAAAAGAACAGGTTGACTTAAAAATATGTGATAAATCTGATGTGTAGCACAAAAACAACAGAGGACCAAGTACAGATCCTTGGGGAACTCCACTCAATACAGGATATTGGTCAGAGAAGCAATCATCTATCCGAACACAAAAATATCTGTTCTCTAGAAAATTCTGGATCCACGTCAGTAGTAGCCCGCGTACACCAAAATGTTCTAATTTACACAAAAGTCTTTTTCTAGGGACACGGTCAAATGCTTTAGAAAAGTCTAGATATATAATATCCATAGGGGTATTATTGTCCAAATGTTTTGACCAGACATTCACGCACTCCAATAAGTTTGTTGTAACTGACCGATTTGGAACAAAACCATGTTGTTGTTGCGGAATTATTTTGTGATATAACAGGAAAGTTTTTAATTCATAACTTATTATTGATTCCATGATTTTGCAAGCCACTGAAGTGAGACTTATAGGTCTGTAGTTGCTTGGGTCGAGCTTGTTACCCTTTTTGAATATTGGTGTTACAGATGCTAACTTCCAGCTATTTGGTAAGCAGCAGTTTTTGAATGAACGGTTCATAATTATACTTAGTGGATAGACTAGATTTTCGCTGCATCTTTTTAGAAAAAGGACAGTGATGCCATCGATGCCTGGGGAGGAGGATGATTTTAGTTTTCCAATTTTGTCCAGAATTTTTGACTGAGGGAAATTTATATTGGAAAGGTTGTCCTGGTTGCGTACGGAGTTAATCGTGATTGTATTTGGTAATTCAGGTTCAATGTTAAAGGATGTTGTGAAAGTACTTGCCATCATTTCTGCGACTTCTTTGTTGTCTTTGCATATGTCACCATCCGTCTTGCAATGCAAGACTTTCGAAAAAAAAATCGAATTTTTGTTCCAATGGCTAATTAAGTAGGAATCACGAAAACTTCCCGAGATGAGATCCCAGTGTATCATAATATAACTGATTCTTGATCCGAAAAAAAATTCTCGAGTTCTGGCAGCATCGGAAATGTAGACCATAGTGTAATGGTTCCACTTTACACCCAGTGTAAGTTTTGTTCTGCGGACTTTTTTAGAGTGTTCTCGCCCTCTTTGAAGTCGATGAAATATCACATCTTCGAAATAGAGTCAAATTATGAGTGGTCCATTTAGTGTGTTGAGAACTGTACTTGACTCGATGTTGGTCGAAGACGTAACTATTTTTGATTGCACGATACTGCATAATTTCGAGATAGAATCTGATATAACAATAACAAATAGGTCATTTTAGTACGTGGTATGGGTACGTGAAAATTCGGTTCATAAAGACATTCCATGAATTCATTCACATTTTCTCAGTGAGAGTTTTTGTTTTTAACTGAGCAGTGCTGACTATTATGTTTCTTTACAAAACAATCACAGGCGACGAAAATAAACACGTTTGAGGATATCTAGTTTACTGTTTGTTCAGTTTGAATGTCACAAATTTTATGATCAAAACGATTCAATTCAACTCGACTCACTTAATCATTTCATGGTTTATGCGGATTTTGTACAAAATTCTCATCAATTTCCATATTGAATTCACAATTCGTAAACTCTCACAATTTTCCTTAAATTTCAACAAACTTCCTTGTAATTTCTTTCAAATACTGAATATCGAATTTCAACAATTCCCAATGAATTCCCATCACTTGTACATCAAAATTAACATCTGAGATTTCCCTTGGACTTTGATGACATATGACACCATTGATGATTTTAAAACTTATTGTTTGTGATCAAATTGATCGTGATTCAAGAGTCCCTTCAAGCAGTGAATACAGAATGTAGGCTCTGTAATAGTTTCTAGTCTCATTATGTTAGTATGAGATCTGGTATAGTTGCAAAACGAAATAATCGTGAACATTATGCATTCTGAAATACATGAAAATATTTTCGCATTCTAAATTATGTAACATGCATCATAACTAATTCAATCTGAAAATGGATATTTGTTAAACGAAATTCCAAAAGTTTCCTTGAAAATTGCACACCAAACATTTTCGATCAATTTAAAGTCTGTATTTCGTATCGTTACCATAGCAAAAACACAAATTTGGAGCATGAAATTACACTGGGAATTTTTTGACTTTTATGGGTGGAATAACATTTACATTCAACTTCAGATTATTTCGAGTTCATTCTATAAGTCTATAAATAAAAATCATTTATCAACAGTTTACCATATAATATTATGTAGGTATACTTGCAAATTCAAAATTTTCAAGAACACATGTTGTTACTATACGTTAGTTCTTACATTTCATAACAAACAACCATCAACATGTAAATTTTCTTACCGAATACCACTTTAGCTTCAATCAATATCCGGGAATTTTTTCTCGAACACGAATATTTAGGATTTTCAAAATATTCGTGTTTTCCAAAAAAAATCCGGAAATAATTGTAACTCTCGTGATATTATAAGTGAAAATTCCATTTCATAGGAATTCTGATATCGTGTGTATCTCATTTGTATATATGACTCATTGGATAGTTATTTTTCCACTCTTACCGATACTTCCGAATTTTATTATTCGAATATTATTTTGTCAAGTGAATGCCATAACTAACCTCGGCCATAACCAATTCCTTGCTACATCCTGATTAGGTCCGAAAATCTGCAAATTGCATTATTGTTCGATGGCTCTTTTTTAGGATTTGACCTTCTTCGAGACATCGGCTAACAAATTCTTCATATTTCATCGACGTAATGTAGAAATGGGCGAATCCCACTTGTTATATAACATTCTAAATGGAGGCATCGTAGATAGACACAATTTCAACACTCAAACACATTTTTATTCACTCAAGACGTTCTTCGGTTTTCGCAAATAATTCATTATCTACGCATTCATAAAAGAAACAAACTAACTGTCTGATGTGAAGGAGTCCTGACCATATGAGTTACTGCTTTTGTCAGCGTGTATCTCGATTCTTGATTTGATATTTCGATATTTTCAACAAGACGGATCTACAGCAGATACTGCTAATGAAATAATTCTGTTTTTGAGGGAGCTTTATGGAAACCGGGTAATTAGTTGAGGTTTGTGGCCACCTCGCATTCCGGACTTAACGCACCTAGATATTCAATTGTTTGGTCGAACGAAAAACATTTTCAGAAATAGAATTCACACTCCAAAGCACCTACAGGCAGCAATTATCGAAGTGGTGCAAAGTATCACACAAAATGAACTTTAGCTCAAGATAGTGGAGGTGGGCATATTGAACATTCCTTATAATCCAACCGTTATTGTCATCTTGAGAATTGATAGCGTTCCATTCATTGCAGGTGTATTATGTCTGTCTGTTCGTTATCTACATTCCAAAATTCAAATTAATAACATATATTTCTTTCCCAACGCAATCGTTACCCTATTTTTTTTCAATTTCCTTCGGCACTGATTTTCATCAAATCCATGGTAGGGATATTCTGACATCCAGAACTACCACCTGTGCAACTTTGGTTGCCTTATTCTTATGTTCACGTGGGGTACGGCATTTTATGAAGACCCTGTATAAATCATAATTTACCTTTTTTAGGAACAGCTACAATCTCATCTTTGGGAACCTTGGATGGATCACTGATTAAACTCTTCTCAAACTGTAAATGCAACCTTAAGACAAGTTGTAATTGTGGATTTGTAGACAAATTATTGAAACATTTCAGTAAAGAGGATTTGGTAAACTTCAAACGATATGAAAGTAAAATTTCGCAAACGGAACATTGGAAAGATAAGTCCAGTTGTAATAATATCGGCGTACAAGTACAGGTATATACGCAAAACCAAAACTCACAGACATTCAGTAATTTGAGCAATCAGATTTCTCAGACATCGAAATCTCAACGTCATTCACAAGATGTTGGGATCCAAACTTCAGCTATTGTACCTGTGAAAATACCACGAAAGACTGAAGTGATTCAAGTGGGATCACAAGATCAAAATACTTTAACCAAAGCTGAAGATGTAAGAGTCCATCAATTGAAAAACAATATCAATCAGAGAAATGCAGCCCCGCAAACTTTATACCGAGATTTGGAAATTATTCAATCTATTGATACAGAACTTGAAGGAAATAATAGAAATGAAGTTGATGATTATACCCAGACGAATCTTGGGTATGTTTCTAATGATGATAAAAACGATGAAGTCACGAATATTTCTGGGTCAGATCAAGAAATGGGGAACTGTAAAATATATGGGAGAGAAAAGAGACATATTACTACATCTTCAAATAGTTCTCACATTTTGGTTCCTCATTCTATTGAAAAATCATCTGAGAACATCGATGGTCAAACCAACATCGAAAACGCCAATGCAGGTGGAAATAAAAGTCCAGAGAATGATATGTATTTGAATTTATCTTCCATGTCACCCAATGGTGAGTAAGTTGCTCATTTTCTGTAATAATAATATTTGTATTATTAGGTGTTATTATTTGTCAGAGATAAATAATTTATTATGATGAATAGTATAATCGTCCTTTGTCCAATTTTCTTTTTCAGGCACAGGTATACTTATAGTTTGATAAAAGTGGAAATTGAAGTCAGTACCTTAAATTACAAATAACTAGTCGAGTCGGAGTGAAATTTTCAGTGCAACTATTCTTTTCATTAAATTCCATTGTTAATTTTTTTCATCTAAAAAAGAAATAGTAAATTTTTTTTTAAATGAAAATTTATTTCCCCATATATACATCTTGAGAATATTCATAAAAAGTCTTATTTCTATTTCTTTTTACTGCTCCGTATGTTCCGCTCTAGGTGTATCACTCAGATTCATAACCTCAAAATTCAATATGACTATGCGCTGGTTGACACGTTACATTCTAAATCGCATGCTTATATCATCAAGTAAATAATTTCTACCAGTCAGTCCGACTAAGCGTTACAAATAATCAATGGTAATATCCCAACACACATAGCCGACTACTTTTATTGAGAATTTTATGAAGAGTTCATCTTCGAATAATTGGTTCAATCAATATGCACATCCACAGTTACGAAATGTTGGATAGTTCTGATTTTCGATGTGTTGTATCTGTACTGAAACGCCGAAGTTTTCGGAAGCGCCGAAAGCGCAGAGAAACGGCGAAATTTACCTAGTTCTAGTTTTTTTCGAAATTTAAGTATGAAGAAATGGTTCAACGAGAAAACTGATTCAGTCCTACCATGAAGAACAGTAAATTTTTTTACTATCAGGAACGAATCGTTTTCCTGATGATACCTAATACTTTTTGAGTGACAGCCATTGAAAATTCCAGCAAATTTTAAAAATTTTCAAAAATTGTTAAATTTTAGCTAGTATTTTCGATTTTTACTGTAAAGCAATAGTTTCCAGCAGAGTTGATAGATATTTGTTTGAAATAATGATGAATATGGAGTTCCTATCTTGAGAAGCTTCTAAGGCAAAACGGTTCAAAGCGGCTATCAATTTCACTTCAGATCTATACTATTCATGAGTATATGCCATTTCATTCACGCCGCCCCCTGATCATTCCTAGAAGTTCCCACGTATCACTTATACTCATAGGCCGTTATTAGATACAATATTAGGACCAGATCAGACCAGATCAGAATCAGACCAGATCATACAATATTAAGTAAAGCTCGTTTTGAACGGATATGTGGATTAACATTACTTATTTTGTCCTTAGCTTCAAGAATAAGATATTTTGCGTATGATAATAAGTTTAAGAGTACATTATGATGTGCAAAAGCGGGTTGAATAGAACGCGAATTATTAAGCATTTTTTATACTCCATTATAGAAATATTCAATATTATTTAGTTGTTTGATTATAGGTATTATTTTTATATAGTGAATGAATGTATGTTTGGTCTCGATTACTTTTGAATTTCCGAGTTGGAAAGGAAGTAATGGGGCCTTAATTGGTATAACTTCCACATCTTCACTGATCGTTGTCTTGATTGTCATCAGGAGTATGACTACAAGAAGGAATCTGTTCATCAGGGACATTTTCCTGTGTAGAAGAAAAAGCTTTAGGTTTCTCAAGTTGTGACTTGTGAATTATTTTATTTTTGGGTGTTTTTATTTTGGTTCCTAAGTCTTCTTCTACTGAGGTTTTTATATGTCGCTTTTTGTTTTCATTTCGTGAGGCTCCGACATTGAATTCAGGTGGTTCTTTGTTTTTCGTTCAAATGAGTTGTATGGCTCAGAGACGTGTCATGAATTTTTTCATATATATTTTTTAGTTTTTCTCTACGGTCAATTACAAACTGATTCATTATTGTTTCCTCGGTGAGATCAAATGGATCTAAAATATCGAGTCATCCGTTGATGAGATCGAAAGCCTTTTGTGTAGTTACACTATGAATGGATGAATTGTAACCAAGTATCGCAAATTGCATCAATTGTTTGGTGTTGGACTTTGTATCTGTTATTTTTAATATTCTGAACAATTCAATTAATGTTGTCTTTCTACTGGACCGTTGCTGTTTGAATTACCGGGTGTGGTAAAATGTAATCGGATGTTATGTAGTTTGCAGAAATCAGTTAACAGGGTGTCTTTAAACTCTGTTCCGTTGTCACAAGTAATTGATTGAGGGATACTGTGATGTCTTAGAAGTGTCATTAAGTTGTCAAATACTGTGAATGATCTACAGATAGGCTCCTAAATATATGCTTGAGCATATTTTGAGAAAACATCAATTATTGTTAGGTATTTCGTACTTGATATTTGGAAAGTATCCATATGAATTGCTTCCAAAGGTTGTTTTGGTGTGGCTGTCAATGAAAACTTTATTCTTGGGGGATGCCTGTCGTATTTTGTATCTTGGCAAATGTCACAGTTGTTAATATATTTGGTTATTGCTTTTCGCATGCGCGGCCGGCTAATACCGTCTCATTTATGCCGCGATGTCAAGTTTTTTCGTGATGATATGAGATGATTTCTTTTTGTCTCTTCTTATCAGGAACATCTTTCACAAACTGTTTCGAAATTAACAACATGTAAGAATGATTTTTGAAATATTTCGGTAATATATCACTGAGATGGATTGTTAAATCTATTTCTGATTGTTGGACATGAATACGATGTAGCATTTTTGGATCTACATGGTCCTTGAAAAATTTGAATATTTCCTGATCGAAATTTTGTGTTAAATAGACTGTTTGCCTTCTACCACTTCCAATAGGTTTACTTCTTATGACATGATAAACACCTGTTTGTTTTTGATTAAATATAATTTGATTCGTGTATCTGTTAACACAATGTTCTGTTATTGGTATGTCTAAAATCGGGTTTTCTTCTGATGAATGAACTGTTTCATCAGTGTTTTCTGGTCTGATTTGAATATCTGATATTATGTTTACTCGCGGGGGTTCAGTTTCAACATCGGGGTCGAATAATTGATCAAGATTTTCGAGATCTTCAACTGAAACTCTTTCGGGTTGATCTGTTCGTAGATATTGCTCGATTTCTTTGTCGATATCTCCAGGATTTCCTATTATTGATTCGTTTTCGATTGTATGGATTCCTACTCGCGAAAGGGCATCAGCATTGCTGTTTTGCCGTTCTTTTTTATAATGAATTTTCGTTATTTTAACCGCCATCTAACTAGACGTGAATTTGGTTCTTTCAAGTTAAAAGCCATTGAAGGGGCTTATGGTCAGTGACAATTTTGAATTTTTGCCCGAATAAATACGGTCTGAAATATTTAGTTGCTCACACGATTGCTAATAGTTCTATCTCAATCGCGCTATAATTTATTTCCGCTGGGTTTAGAGTACGGGACGCATATGCAAATCATTTCTAATTTCACCTTGGCTAAGAACTGCGCCTTCGGCTATGTTCGAAGCATCTGTTGTAACAACAAATGGCTTGTCAAAATCAGGAAATTGAAGTATAGGATTATTACACAGTATGTTTTTACATAATTCGAATGTTTCGACAAATTCTATGTATACACTTCGTAAATGGTTTAGTCAATTTCGCAAAGTTTTTTATGAATCGTCTATAATCCCAGGAGACCAAGAAAATACTTGATTTCCTTTGCTGTTTTGGGTATCGGAAATTTTTTAACTGCTTCGATTTTTCGAGCATTCGGTTCTACTCCTTCAGGGGTTATGACGTGTCCTAGGAATTCCACTTATTTTCGGAGGAATTCCGATTTACCTAGTTGAATTTTCAACCTTGATTCTCTCAACCTTTTAAATACTAATTTTAAGTTCGAAATAAGTTCTGTAAGACCAAAGAAAATATTATTATATCGTCCATGTATACCAGACATATTTTTCCTTGTAAATCACGAAGGACGTTGTCCATAACGCGTTGGAAAGTTGCGGGTGCGTTCTTAAGACCAAAGGGCATTCGTGCGTATTCAAAATGTCTATTGAATTTGGATCCATCTCGATTTGATGAAAACCGGACGCAAGATCTAGTGTAGCATCTACCTAGATTATGAGAGATGATTCACGGTCGTCAATTGTTTTTTCGTTCACCTTTCAGTAATCTACAACAATTCGCCATTTTGGTTTACCGCTGGCATCTAGTTTTTTAGGAACGATCCAAATTGGACTACTCCAGGGACTTTGACTAGGCCTTATTATACAATCGTCTAACATTTTGTTATTTTGGTTTGGTACTTCTTGTTTATCTACGAAAGGGTACCTATAAGATCTGGTGAGTATTGGTATTTCATTAGTAGTTTTGATTTCGTGTTTTATTTTATTTGTGAATGATGATTTTTCTGTTTCTTTATGAAAAATATCAGAGGATTCATTGCAAAGTTCCAAAAGTGCATCACGTTCTTCTGAGTTTGAATGGTCATTACGAATATTTTTGGATATGTTGAAATTTTTTGTCAGTTTTTGTTTTGGAAGGAAATTTTCGAATTAAAAGAAATTAAAATCTTCTGTATGAGAATCTGGAAAAGTTTCTACTTGTACAGGCTCTTCAAATGTCATTTTCAACTGTTCGTTTGTTTGATTATAAATTTCGGTTTTGGCGAATCCATATTTTGCTGTTGTAAGGGTTACAGGAAAATATAAATTTTCAAATTGACATTCCGGGATTATCACATCACCTTCTTTTTCTGAAAATGAAATTCGAATTGATGCTACTTCGTAAGCATTCATGAAAATGTTAGAAATTTTAGGTGGCTTTCGATATAGAATCGGAATTCTGATTTCGTCATTTACGAAACAGTGATTAGATTAATCAATTGACAATTTAAATCGTTGTAATTCTCTCAGACCTATTATTCCGTCAAAGAATGAATGGAAATCAAATAGTATGAATGTTACTATTTCGTTTGTTTGAAGTACTTGAAATGCTGGTATATTCCTTTAAACCTTACCTCTTTTTGACCTACACCTGTGAAAATGTTCGAGATACTGTGATAAATACACTGTGAAAAAT